TGGGTATCCTTCAAGCTGACAACATCAAGCACACTGAAGTCAAGAAAAAGATTAGAGGTGAATACATCAAGAGAGTGAAGAAGATCTTAAAGTCCAAACTCAATGGAGGAAATACCATAAAGGCAATCAACACCTGGGCAATTCCAGTCATTAGGTACACAGCTGGAATAGTGGACTGGACTCAAGCAGAACTAAAAGCAATGGATAGGCAGACCAGAAAAATAATGACAATGAATCATGCCCTTCATCCACGCAGTGACATTGATAGACTTTATCTACCAAGGCAAATAGGTGGGCGTGGAATGCTACAAGTACATCAGATGGTTGAAGAAGAAAAAATGGCTTTGGAAGAATATCTGAAGAACAATGATGAAGATGCACTGAAATTAGTATATCAGGAAGGCTTACTGACTACTGGAGAGACCAAACTGGCCTACAAGAAAGACCAAATGAAGAACAGAATAGAGGCATGGGAAGACAAAGCACTACATGGCCAATACATGAAAAAAAAAATAGCTGGGAAAGCAGATAATAACAAGACCTGGCAATGGCTAAGAGCAGGAAAATTGAAGAAAGAGACCGAGGGACTAATTCTGGCTGCACAAGACCAAGCCTTAAGGACAAATGCATACAAAGTCAAAATTGAGAAGACAGCAACAGACAGTAAGTGCCGCTTATGCACAGAAGCTGAAGAAACAGTGGACCACCTGGTAAGCTGTTGCAAGAAGATTGCACAGACTGACTACAAGCAGCGGCATGACAAAGTAGCAACAATGGTACATTGGAAGATCTGCAAAAAATATCATTTGCCTGTAAGCAAAAACTGGTGGGATCATAAAATAGAGAAAGTGATAGAAAATGATAAAATTAAACTGCTCTGGGACTTCAGAATTCAAACAGACAAGCACCTGCAACATAACACCCAGACTTAACAATTGTCAATAAGAAAGACAAAAAAGTCTGGATAATGGACGTGGCAGTGCCTGGAGATAGCAGAATAGAAGAGAAAGAACTGGAGAAGATAACAAAATACAAAGACCTACAAATAGAAATAGAAAGACTGTGGCAAAAGCAAGCAAGGGTAGTACCAATAGTCATAGGCGCCTTGGGTGCAATCCCAAAACAACTGGAGCACCACTTGAACACCCTTGGCATTGACAAATTCGCTATTAGTCAATTGCAAAAGGCGGCCTTATTAGGAACTGCTTCCATCCTGCGACGATATCTGTAATACCATCAAACATCACATCTGCCTATCCCAGGTCCTGGGTAAGGACTCGATAGGTAGACAAAATGCCAAATCCAGTCTGAACATCTGGCTGACTGTGCGATGATCGATAATAATAATAATAATAATAGTAAATTTGGAAGTGATCTTGGAGGTCATCTAGTCCAACCCCCTGCTCAGGCAGGAAACCCTATACCATTTCAGACAAATGGCTGTCCAGTCTCTTCTTAAAAACTTACAGTGTTGGAGCATTCACCGCTTCTGGAGGCAGGTTGTTCCACTGGTTAATTGTTCTAACTGTCAGGAAGTTTCTCCTTAGTTCTAGGTTGCTTCTCTCTTTGATCAGTTTCCATCCGTTGCTTCTTGTCCTGCCTTCAGGTGCTTTGGAAAATAGCTTGACTCCCTCTTCTTTGGGGCAGCCCGTGAGATATTGGAACACAGCTATCATGTCCCCCCTCGTCTTTCTCTTCATTAAACTAGACATTTACGCCCTGATATCATGGCATGCATCTCTCCCATTATCTGTGAGAAAAATCAGCAACCAAAAAAGCTAATGTGATCCTGGGTTGTATAAACAGAGGCATAGAATCAAGATCACACGAAGTAATATTAGCGCTTTATAAAACCCTAGTAAGACCACACCTGAAATACTGCAGCCAATTTTGGTCACCATATCACAAAAAAGATGTTGAGAGTTTGGAAAAAAAATTCAGAGAAGAGCAACTATATACGAAGAACGGCTACAGGACTTGGGTTTGGCTAGTCTCAAGAAAAGAAGAAATAGGGGAGACATGATAGCAGTCTTCCAGTATCTGAGGGGCTGCCACAAAGAAGAGGGGGCCAAGTTGTTCACCAAAGCACCAGATGGAAGGACAAGAAATAATGGTTGGAAACTGATCAAAGAGAAAAACAACCTGGAATTGAGGAGACATGACATGATGTGACTTGATAGCAGTATTTGAGGGGCTGCCACAAGGAAGAGGGGGTCAAACTATTCTCCAAATCACCAGAGGGCAGGACAAGAAACAATGGTTGGAAACTGACCAAAGAGAGAAGCAACCTGGAATTAAGGAGAAACTTCCTAATGGTCAGGACAATTAACCAGTGGAACAGCTTGTCTCCAGAAATTGTGAGCGTTTCATCACTGAAGGTTTTTAAGAAGAGACTAGTCACCTGTCTGAGATGGTATAGTTTCTCCTGCTTGAGCCGGGGGCTGGACTAGAAGACCTCCAAGGTCTATTCTATTCTATTCTATTCTATTCTATTCTATTCTATTCTATTCTATTCTATTCTATATTTGCTATTTTATTCTATTCTATATTTGCTATTCTATTCTATTCTATTCTATTCTATTCTATTCTATTCTATATTTGCTATTCTATTCTATTCTATTCTATTCTATTCTATTCTATATTTGCTATTCTATTCTATTCTATATTTGCTATTCTATTCTATTCTATTCTATATTTGCTATTCTATTCTATTCTATTCTATTCTATATTTGCTATTCTATTCTATTCTATTCTATATTTGCTATTCTATTCTATTCTATATTTGCTATTCTATTCTATATTTGCTATTCTATTCTATATTTGCTATTCTATTCTATTCTATATTTGCTATTCTATTCTATTCTATATTTGCTATTCTATTCTATATTTGCTATTCTATTCTATTCTATTCTATATTTGCTATTCTATTCTATATTTGCTATTCTATTCTATTCTATTCTATTCTATATTTGCTATTCTATTCTATTCTATATTTGCTATTCTATTCTATTCTATTCTATTCTATATTTGCTATTCTATTCTATTCTATATTTGCTATTCTATTTTATATTTGCTATTCTATTCTATTCTATATTTGCTATTCTATTCTATATTTGCTATTCTATTCTATTCTATTCTATTCTATTCTATTCTATTCTATTCTATTCTATTCTATTCTATTCTATTCTAAAAATCAAACTACGAGGTGTAAGAGGAAGTGAATCACTTCTGATATTCTCTTAGCATCACCCAGATGGTCTCCTGGCCTTTTCAGAGTGGCCAACACACAACATTTTTATTAAGGAATAGACTGGATGCCATTGTGTATTAACTTCACTCTTTATGCCCTAAAGAATTGATGACAGTTCCAGCACTGTCTCCACAACTGCAAGGCATCTCTGCGGTGGAAACAACAAGGATGAAGTGACCTTTAAGTTTTTCATAAAAAGATGGAATGGCTCAAAGTGTGCACTTGCTTGTGTCTGTGTGTGTCACTTCTGTCCCTCTAGAGAGCCAGCAGATCTATTTACACAGACAGTGGGAGTCAATCGGAATGCGTTTTGGAAACTCAGTAGAACATCATTTGAAAAGAGAAATATCCATTCAGAGATAAAGGCCAGAGACAACAGAAAAGGAGAGGTTTGAGCAGGAGAAATTTATTAGCATCCTTCTTGAAACTGCTGTTTGGATAGACCTTCCCCTGAGCCCATAGGACATTTAATACCACTAGTATTTTTCTGGTCAGTACAAAACATGAGCCTTTCAGCCATTCACGGGTAAATATTTTGGGTCACAACACAAAAGGATTATTTTTTAATTTTTTTTTTTTTAATAAAATAACATTCTTTAGTATTTAGCAGAGAAGACTCCTGCGAGTCCCCTGGACTGCAAGGCGATCAAACCGGTCAGTCCTAGAGGAGATCAACCCCGACTGCTCTTTAGAAGGCCGGATCCTGAAGCTGAAACGCAAGTATTTTGCCCACCTAATGAGAAGGAAGGGCTCACTGGAGAAGAGCCTAATGCTGGGAAAGATGGAGGGCAAGAGAAGAAGGGGACGACAGAGAATGAGGTGGCTGCATGGAGTCACTGAAGCAGGAGGCGTGAGCTTAAATGGACTCCAGAAGATGGTAGAGGACAGGAAGACCTAGAGGAACGTTGTCCATGGGGTTGCGATGGGTCGGACACGACTTTGCAACTAACAACAACAAGTATTTAGCAAACAGCATGTTGTCTGGAATCATGTATTTAAAAAAATAATCAGTAATAATTAGTCTCTATATTTTCATAATCAATATGTTAGTTAATAATATATTTCTTAACTCTTCTCTTCACCCGATAGTCTTCTTCTTACTAATACCTATTTAATGTTACATAGTACATACCCTTTCTAACTCATTTTTCTAGCCATTGTTAAAAATTATCCCATGTTCTAAAGTACACTGAGTCTTCTTTCTCTTTTATCTTCAATGTCAATTTGTCCATTTCTGCACAATCCAAAATTTTCTTAATTAATTCTTCCTCCGTTGGCAGATTTTCGTTTTTCCAATATACTATTCTTGCTGCAGTTAATACATGTAAAATTAAGTATATACATTCTTTCTCATGGTTTCCTACTATTATGCCTAACACAAACAATTCTGGCTTTAAAATCTATATGTTTTTAGTCATTTTCTCTAAACGGGATGTGCCATTTTTGACGAGAATGATGACTTTTCTTCCTCCATTTTCCCGCAACTCACATCAAATGTGCCAGAGGTATAACCGAACACCTGAACCACTCACACACACATTGCATGCAAAGACACAAAAGGAACAGAAATGGGTCAAAAGCAGGACGTCCCTCATGACAAAGTCAAAGGGATGACTGCAACCGTGGGATGGCAGCCGCCATCTTGACTTTTTGGACTCCTGCTGAGGACTCCCTTGAGAGAAAGGTCTCTCTTGCAAAAAAAAAAAAAAAACCACACACACAACGGAATCCGGCTGACGCTTTTTCTTACCTGTTTCTGTGTTGTCGTGTTCTGTGTCGGTCAAGGTAAGATTGGAGTTGGCTCTGCTGGATAAACAGGAGCTACGGCCGGACTTGGTGCTGCGGGCCCACAACCGCACCGGGTGTTCTGGAGACATGATGGCGTCTGTTTCTGTATCGGCGTCGGAGCCAGCGCTGATGGAGTAGCTGCCGTGGGGCACTCCTAAGTCAGTCCGGTATAAAGTCCCGTGGGGCGGCGAGACATCTTCAAAGCCCAGTTCTTGTAAAGAAAAGTTGGTTCCTGGACAGGAGGACAGGAGGAAGAACTCAAAGCATTAGGTGACCATGTCTATGGAGGTTCTCCATCATCCAAGTCATGGTTGTCCCAAAGACGCTTTTTTCAGGAGGCAACTGGACTTTCTTTTTTCTCTTTGAGGACGTTTGGCTTCTCATCCAAGAAGCTTCTTCAGGTTCTGAGTGAGTGGTGGGGAATGGAAGGATTTATACTCCTTGCAGACAGCTGGTCATTTGCCTTCTTTTAGAGCAGTGGTTCTCAACCTTTTTAATGCCGCGACCCCCAACTGGTCACAAGTCGAGGACTACTCAACCGGTCCTAAGTCGAGGACTACTCAACTGGTGCAGCACCGTTTGCAGAATGGGACTTTTGGCGGGCTCAGCAGGGCAGAGACAGCCTGGACAATTCCTATTGGCTTTTGAAAGCCAATAGAATTAGACTCTATTCAAGAGAGGGAGATAAAAGGGAGTAGCACAGCTAAGGAAAAGGAGGAAAAAATGGCGGACTGCGTTATTTGGCGACCCCCGTGAAATGGCCGTTCGACCCCAAATGGGGTCTCGACCCACAGGTTGAGAACCACTGTTTTAGAGAGTCGTTGAAGTTTATCCACCTGGAGGTTTATCTGTGTCCTCAAGGTTACCTGAGTGGTGCAAATGGGTGTGGAGCCTTCTTGGAACTGAAGGCTCCACACTACTTGGAACTTCTTGGAACTGCCTAAAAGGACTGTGGTGTAGACTGGAGATAGGTGGTGTCGTATCCCTCCCCCTTTGTTGAGAGATGGCTGTTCAGCTTGGACACAGATGGCCTCTCTGACCCCTCTTTCAAACCAGCGATCCCCTCTGTCCAAAATGTGGACTTCACTGTCTTCAAAAGCAAAAACCTCCAAGTGGCCTCAACAATGCTCTGAAAGAAGGCCAATGACCAGCTGTCTGCAAGGAGTATAAATCCTTTCATTTCCCCCCACCCTCCAGTCAGAGCTGAAGAAGCTTCTTGGATGAGAAGCGATACGTCTTCCAAGAAAAAACAAGAACGTCCACTTGCCTCCTGAAAAAAAAGACACCTTTGGGATTAGGCGACGATCTGTAATCAGAGATGGCGCAGAAGTTCACGTTTCCCACTTCTTGCGATATTGAATGGCAAGAAGAACGAGAACGACTCAAGCGTGCAGATTGGCTGAAGCTGAACTGATCAAGGGGCCCGTTGGCTTAAGCTAGTGTTTCTCAACCTTGACAATTTTAAGGTATGTGGACTTCAACTCCCAGAATTCCACAGCCAGCATTGCTGGCTGTGGAATTCTGGGAGTTGAAGTCCACGTGCCTTAAAATTGTCAAGGTTGAGAAACACTGGCTTAAGCGATGCGTTCTCCATCCACAGTCCCTCTCAACCCGGACACACGTAAACCCAGCCATTTTGATTAAAACAAGGAAAATGCCATTATTTATTTATTTATTAAACAAATCTTATTTATTTAGTCATTTATTGATTGATTGATTTAAAGGTACATGCAGCTAGTCGTCAATTTACATTTACAGGGGTTCTCAACCTTGGCAACTTTAAGACTTGTGGACTTCAACTCCCAGAATTCTGGGAATTGAAGTCCACAAGTCTTAAAGTTGCCAAGGTTGAGAACCCCTGGTTTACAACCATTTGTTTAGTAAAGGTTCAAAGTAACAAAGGGAAAAAAATATGACTTATGACTATTTTTTTCACACAACAGGTTCTGGCATCCCTATGGTCACCTGATCAAAATTCGGTTCCTATTTACGACGGTTGCAGTGCCCCGAGGTCCACGTGATCCCCTTTTTTGCGACCTTCTGACAAGCAAAGTCAATGGGGGGAGTCAGATTTGCTTAGCCGCCGTGTTTCTCACTTAACAACTGCCGTGATTCACTTAACAACTGTGGCCAGAAAGGTCATAAAAGGGGGGGAGGAAAGCACACTTAACATATGTTTTACTTAGCGGTGGAAATTTTGGGCTCGGTTGTGGTCGTAAGTAGAGGACTAACTGTATACAGTGGATGGGATTCAGCTGGTTCGCACCGGTTCGGTAGAACTGGTAGCTAAATTTTGCTGCATTCGGAGAACCAGCTGGCTTCCAGAAGTCCAGTCTAGGCCTTGGAGGCCTGGAGGATGCCTCCCAGGCCTAGAATGGTCTGCTGGAAGTGCGTGGATGCCACTTCCGGAAGTCCATTCTAGGCCTCAGAGGCCCAGGCCTGCATCGAATAAGACAGGGCTTTTCAACCTTTTCACCCATTGTACCACTTTTAGGATATGGCAACATCCGAGTACCACCAGTCGCCTAGCAAGGTGTCAAAAACTTGATGATCAAAAAAAAAAAAAAGTGATAAAGTACAGGTAGTCCTCGACTTACAACAGTTCGCTTAGTGACTGTTCGAAGTTACAATGGCACTGAAAAAAGTGTCCCCCCAAGGCACAGCCGAGCAAAACACCTGCCTGCCCACCCGGCCGCGCTCTTCCTCCTGTCCGAGGTTTTCATTGTTGTGAGCATTTCTGTTGAGGATTGGCGGTGGGGGTGGGGGGGTGTTTGGTTTTTATTCCCCCGTCTGCTGGGTGGTTGCAGCAGGTTTTGGTCACTTCACCTGACCCTGGGACACTGTGACCGTCATAAATATGAATCACTTTTCTAAGATGGTCGCGTACCACCTGCCAGGTGTCAATGTACCACAGGTGGTACCTGTACCACTGGTTGAAAAGCCCTGGAATAAGAGACCCGATTGTTCAGATATTTGAATTCCACCACTGCCTGTATAGTGGTCCCTCTTATAGCAGTAACTCGGAAGGGTGTATGGAAGGTTAGAACCAGACACCAATAAAATGATTCAGTCCCAACTAACTAACCAAGGGCTACGGCCAGGAAATAAACACTGCTAGAAGGGAATGGCGTTTGTGGAGGAGGAGGAGGAGGAGGAGGAGGAGGAGGAGGAGGAGGAGGAGGAGGAGGAGGAGGAGGAGGAGGAGGAGGAGGAGGAAGAAGGAGAAAGGAGGAGGAAGAAGGAGGAGGAGGACTGTGGGATCCTTGGTGCTCTCTGAGCTTGACTGTTTTCTTGCAGACGTTTCATTACCAAACTTGGTAACATCATCAGTGCTACACGGGAAACGACTTTTCTCTTACATTTATATACTAGTGGCTTGCCATCAAGCTTAAAGAGCATCAGGGACTCTTCAGTTCAGCCCCGAGCTATAAATATTATACTGTTGAAGGAGATAGTATATTGTTGAAGGTAGAAAAAAGGGGTTGATCCAAAACACACATTCACACATACAATATGCCAATCAGCTTTTGGAGACTATAGCTAGTACAGAAGAGGTAGGAAGGTGTGGGTGAATCATCCACCCGTTTAATTAACTAAACCAGATTGCCAGTTGTTCCAATCTGTTGGAGAACACAAAAAGCAAGCCGAAAACCAATTAATCCAGGTAATATTTCTGGCTCTTGTTAAAAACAAACAGCTATTTTCAATTCGTCACCTCACAGCTGAGCACAGGTTTGGACAGCCAGTTGAACGTATAGAAAACTGAATTATCTGAAAAGCAGACATGGCGCTTCAGCTAGAATTAATCTCCCTCCTTCTGGAAACTTCATGTTTTTATTTGATCAAAAATTCTACCGCTGCGTTGTTCAGGGCACGGGAGGAACAATGCCACGTACAATAACCCACAATGAGAACTTGCCCATCATGGTGTCATCTCCGCACTCCAAAGCCCATAACACTCTTATGAGGTAGGCTGGGATGAGGAGATCGGTCTCAGATAAGCCAATGGATTTCCGTGACTGATAATGGACTTGGTCTTAGGCCTTCCTGAGGCTGATCCAATACATTAATCAGCAGGCCACATTGCTCTAGAACAGGGGTCTCTGAACGTGGCAACTTTAAGACTTGTGGACTTCAACTCCCAGAATTCCTCAGCCAGCATGGGGGAAACTATGGCCCCTTCATGACTTGTGGACTTCAACTCCCAGAATTCCTCAGCCAGCATGGGGGAACTGTGGCCCCTTCATGACTTGTGGACTTCAACTCCCAGAATTCCTCAGCCACGATCAGTTATGGTCATTAGTTGAGGACTGCCTGTATTTATTTTTCTTTTTTCTTTCTTTCTATCTTTTTCTTTCTTTTTTGTCAAATTTAGAGACCACATATCTTACTTACAGAAGATTGCTTTTCTCCTTCCTTCCTTCCTTCCTTCCTTCCTTCCTTCCTTCCTTCCTTCCTTCCTTCCTTCCTTTCTTTGACAAATTTAGAGACCTCACATCTTACTCACAGAGAATTGAATTTAATATGAGTAAATGGTGTAGATAAACCCCTCCCTAGTTCACACAAAGATAAAGAAATTGTCTTAGTCATGAAAGCCGGCTGGGTGACTTTGAGCCAATCACCAGGGGATGGTGAGTTCTAGTCCTGCCTTAGGCATGAAAGCCAGCTGGGTGGCTTTGGGCCAATCTCCAGGAGACGGTGAGTTCTAGTCCTGCCTTAGGCATGAAAGCCAGTTGGGTGACTTTGGGCCAATCTCCAGGAGACAGTGAGTTCTAGTCCTGCCTTAGGCATGAAAGCCGGCTGGGTCACTTTGGGCCAGACCCTCTCTCTCTCAGCCCAACCTATCTCACAGGGTTGTGGTGACGAAAATAGAGGGAAGATATGTTAGACATGTTCCCTACCTTGAGTTGTTTGTAAAAATAATAAAGGCGGGTAATAAATAAATAAATAATTTAGAGGAGAAAGTTCAGAATTGTGGATATTTCAATAGGAACTTCCAATCTTCTTCTTCTTCTTCTTCTTCTTCTTCTTCTTCTTCTTCTTCTTCTTCTTCTTCTTCTCTTCTTCTTCTTCCTCCTTCCTTCCTCCTCCTCCTCCTCCTCCTCCTCCTCCTCCTCCTCCTCCTCCTCCTCCTTCTTCTTCTTCTTCTTTAGATCTTTAAATCCCTCTAGAAAATCTTTGTCTCTCTTTCCTGGGACTTTCAGCATCCACCACTGAAGTTTGAGCTGCTTTTTTAGGAGACAAATCCTCTATCCTCTCTCGTTCCTTTGAATTTCCTGTTTCCTTCACTATCTTTTCACAATCTCTCACATCTAGATGGCAGCAGCTGTCTTCACTAAATTGTCTGTCTGTCTCTGCCTCTCTCTCTCTTCCCAAAACGTTTTTTATTACTTTTCTGTACCTATAGTCCAGGGGTAGGCAACCTTGGCTCTTTTATGACTCCTGGACTTCAACCCCCAGAATTCCTGAGCCAGCCATGCTGAGGGGAAAGGGAGAGGTTTCCAAGCTGAGCCACGCCGGCTCAGGAATTCTGGGAGTTGAAGTCCCCAAGTCATGAAGGGGCCATAGTTCCCCCATGCTGGTTGAGGAATTCTGGGAGTTGAAGTCCACGAGTCATGAAGGGGCCATAGTTCCCCCTGCTGGTTGAGGAATTCTGGGAGTTGAAGTCCACGAGTCATGAAGGGGCCATAGTTCCCCCTGCTGGTTGAGGAATTCTGGGAGTTGAAGTCCCCGAGTCATGAAGGGGCCATAGTTCCCCCTGCTGGTTGAGGAATTCTGGGAGTTGAAGTCCCCGAGTCATGAAGGGGCCATAGTTCCCCCTGCTGGTTGAGGAATTCTGGGAGTTGAAGTCCACAAGTCATAAAAGAGCCAAGGTTGCCTATCCCTGCCCTATACAAATACAGGTAGTTTTTTGACTTACAACCACAACTCGGCCCCAAATTTCTGTTGCTACATGAGGCAGTTATTAAGTGAGTTTTGCCCCATTTTTATGACTTTTCTTGCCACATGTGTTCAGTGAATCACTGCAGTTGTTAAATCAGTAACACGGTTGTTAAGTGAATCTGGCTTCCCCATTGTCAGAAGGTTGCAAAAAGGGGATCACATGTGTCCAGGACACCGCAACCATCATAAATGTAAGCTGTCACCACCCAAATGTAAATCACGTGGCCATGGGGAATTTAAAATCTAAACAAGAGATGGAAAATCAGGGTATTGATCTATCCTGCAAGTTAGATACAATAAAAGATGTTAAACTGTATGGACTTTTTATAAAGAACAGATTTTGTTTGATCAGACATGATTAACCTCTGATGAGAAATTAATTAAGAAAACCTATAACCTTTTATTGAAGTTGAAAATGGAAAACGAACAAGTTAAAGAAACGATGATAACATGGGCAAGGAATTTTGGATATAATGTAGATTTAGAAAAATGACAAAAATTTGTGGGAAAAAAATTATAAATTGACAATGTCAACTTCTTACAAAGAAAATTTATATAAAATGTTTTATAGATGGCGCTTGCCACCAGCAAGATTAGCAAAAATGTTTAAAAATATATCAGAGAGACGTTGGAAATGTAAACACAAGTCAGGTACATATTACCATGTATGGTGGACGTGTGTTAAAATAAAGAGGTATTGGACAAAAATACATACTTGGCTAGAAAAGATGTTGGGAAAACATGTAGATTTTAAACCTGAACTTTTTTTTAATTAGGCATAATGCCAGAAAAGATTGATAAACAAAATATATGCTTGATTTTACATGTGATAACAGTGGCAAGAATCATATTCGCACAACACTGGATAAATGAAGAAATACCACCAGAGGAAGAAATAAGTAAAAAAAAATACTAGAATGTGCAGAAATGGACAGACTTACTTTGAGGTTGAAAGAAAAAGAAGAAACAGAATACTTTCAAACTTGGGACTTATTTTATCAATGGCTGGAGAAAAGGATAAAGGATTAGGAATTAAATTTGTATTAGTGAATGATAAACTCAGACAATAGGTTTGTTGAAAAAGTACTGCTGAATTGTATGAAAAAATTAATAAAAACTTTATTAAAACAAATCACGTGACCTTGGGGATGCTGCAACAGTCGTAAGTGTGAAAAATGGTCATAAATTGCTTTTTTCAGTGCCGGGTTACTAAGTGAACTGTTGTTAAGTTGAGGACTATCTATATCTTTTTAATGAAGCAAGTAGTTGCTTTAATTTGATTTCTGTCCATCGGTGAGGAATAGTTAAGGGAACTGCTAAGAAGTAACTCCACACGTCTTTCTAGATTTGGAGAGCCTCACAATGGTGGCTTGTTTAATCTTCTTAATCAGACAAGCCACAGCCTGGCTATTAAAAAAAAAGGCTACATTATTGCTTTGAGTAGCTCCTACCTACCTGTTCGACAGTACTCGTCTGCTTCTTGGGGTACCATGTCTTTAACCCGATTGCCGTAGATCATTCTGGAATCCTGGTCATAAGCTTTCAGAGTCTCGCTGGAGCTGTATGACTTCTGAGGGATTTTGCTGTCCTCGCTCTCTGCGGAGGAGCTGGTGTAGCGGCGTTCAGCATCGCAGCGTTTGGTCAAAGAACGGTATGGCTTCCTGTCTTTCACATCCATGGCCCTCTTGGTCGGTTTCTTCCACGTCAACAAAACAGGATGCGGGAGGCAATCTGATCAAAATGTCCTGGAAAAGGGAAGTCACAGCTTAGGCCGGTGATGTAGCAAACATAATGCATCTAAGAGTCTTCAGGAGGCAACTGGACTTTCTTGTTGTTGTTGTTGTTTTGAAGATGTCTCGCTTCTCATACAAGAAGCTTCTTCAGGTTCTGACTGAATGGTGGGGAATGGAAGGATTTATACTCCCTGCAGACCATTGGTCATTTGCATTCTTTTGAAGAGTCATTGAGGCCATTGGGAGGTTTTCTGTGTCTTTAGGGTCACCCGAGTGGTTCAAATGGGTGTGGAGTCCTCTTGGAACCGCTGAAAGGATTGTGTGTGGAGCTGTGCTTTCTGCAGGATGATTCTGCAGCTCTACAACACAGCCCTTTCCGCAGTTCCAAGAAGGCTCCACATCCATTTGCACCACTCAGGTGACCCTGAGGAGACAGATAAACCTCCAGGTGGCCTCAGCGACTCTCTAAAACAGGAAACCATGCCCATCCCAGCTCCGGCAATGGGGAAAAAGTCGCGGGTTTGACACCCCTGTTCTAAAAGGATGCAAATGACCAACTGTCTGCAAGAAATATAAATCCTTCCATTCCCCACCATCCAATCAGAGCTGAAGAAGCTTCTTGGATGAGAAGCGAAATGTCTTCAAAGGAAAAACAAGAAAGTCCAGTGGCCTCGTGAAAAAGCACCTTTGGGACAACCAGGACCTAGATGGAGAATCTCCATAGACAATGCATCTAAGAAGGTTCATTACATCCATTAAGGACCACTGATCCATGATGTTCACCAACTGAGAGCCCCTTTGGTCTAGCGTCTCAGGCATCAGGCCAGAAAGCAAGAGGCTGTGAGTTCTAGTCCCGCCTTAGGCATGACCTCTGAACGGGTGACTATGAATCAATCATCAGGAGACGGTGAGTTCTAGTCCCGCCTTAGGCAAGAAATCTGGCTGAGTGACTTTGGCCCAATCAGCAGGAGACGATGAGTTCTAGTCCCGCCTTAGGCACGAAATCTGGCTGAGTGACTTGGGGCCAATCAGCAGCAGACTGTGAGTTCTAATCCCGCCTTAGGCATGAAAAACAGGCTGAGTGACTTTGGGCCAGTCCCTGTCTCTCAGCCCAACCCACCTCATAGGGTGGTCATTGTGAGGAAAATACTTGTAGCGAGGTGCGTTGGGTATGTTCGCCGCCTTGAACTGTTTTTGAAAATAAAGAAATAAACTGACAGAAGCACTCCATGGTTTCCAAGAGAAAACAAATACCCTCCTTGATATGCCCAAGAACTCTGTACATGCAACAGAACCAGGGACCCTCTGAATGAATGCAAAGGAACTGCTCAACCCAAAAAATGTATAAATTGTGAGCATTAAACTCCTTTCTCTGCATTATCAAGCACCTATGAAGAACAGCTCCATAAATCCATTTTATTCCTGCAAAGACCCGCATACACACAAAAGTAGGTGTAAACTAAAACAGCAATAGGACAAGACCAATGCGGGGTGTTATAGAAGCCTCAGTCCTACAAGTGAACAATGTAAAACAGCACAACCCAGCAAAAGTACAGAACAAACTAACTACAGTAAGAACATAAAACGCTAAGCCAAAATCTTAGCCCTAAGTCAAGGGGAGGGGATATCTAAACTACAGGTGGTCCTCAACGTATAACCACAACTGAGTCCAAAATTTCTGTTGCTAAGTGAGACAGTTGTTAAGCGAGCTTTTCCCCATTTTACGACCTTTCTTGCCATAGTTGTTAAGTGAGTCACTGCAGTCATTAAGTTACTAACACAGTCGTTAAATGAATCTGGCTTCCCCATGGACTTTGCTCGTCAGAAGGTCACAAAAGGGGAACAGGTGACCCTGGGAAGCTGCAACCGTCATAAATATGAGTCAGTTGCCAAGCGTCAGAATTTTGATCAGGTGACCACGGGAATGCTGCAATGGTCGTAGGTGTGAAAAACAGTCGTAAGTCACCATTTTCTGCGCTGTTGAACCTTTGAACAGTCACTAAACAAATGGTTATAAGTCAAGAACTACCTGTAATAAGCATGAAAATCTATTTAATTTAAAAATAGAAAAAAACGAACATTTAGAGCAGTGTTCCCCAAACCTGGCAACTTTAACGTGTGTGGACTTCAACCCCCAGAATGCACTAGACCATGGGTAGGCAACCTTGGCTCTTTTATGCCTCGTGGACTTCAACTCCCAGAATTCCTGAGCCAGCCATGCTGAGGGGAAAGGGAGAGGTTTCCAAGCTGAGCCATGCTGGCTGAGGAATTCTGGGAGTTGAAGTCCACGAGTCATAAAAGAGCTAAGGTTGCCTACCCCTGCACTAGACACACGTTAAAGTTGCCAAATTTGAGAAGCATTGATTTACACCTTAAAAATCAGAGTTAAAAAGTTATGGGCTAGGAATAGCGATTTCGGATTACTAGAGCTTAAAATGTTTATAAGCCTGGGCATAGAAACAATATCTAATTTCAGCAAGATGGTCATGCATGAAGAAAGAAACTTTAAGTTCTACTCTAAGAAGGAAAAATGGCAAAACTAAACATCAGATCCTCATAAACTCTTGGCTTTAGGATAGTCTGAGTGTGACCGACTGATAAAATTATTTATCTAACTGTATTAGCAACGCATCACAGCTCTACAGCTTGCTAAACCGCATCGGCTTTCATCAGCTGTACCTTTTTAAAATGTAAGCCTTTAAATTTAATAAAAGAAATAAATCAAAGTAAGCAGCACAAAAACAGCTGTCATTACCTCAGGAAGACACACAATAACAGTCATTGAACCAAATAAATTAAAATGGAAAGGAACTAAGAGAGGTGCTTAGTCAAATTAGCTTAGTCAAAAAGCTCATTAAAATAATAGTTTTTTTTAATAAAAATGCTTATGTAAATACTACTACAGGAAGCCCTCGACGTATAACCACAATTGTGACTGGAATTTTTGTGAAAAGTCGAGCACCATGGGACTGAATCTCACTTTCCAGCCATTTTTATAGTGGTTATTAAGCAAATCACTAAGGTCATTAAGCAAAGCAGATTGAAGTGAAGTGAATCGTATGGTTGTTAAGTGAATCCACTTCTCTGAATGGGCGGGTTTTCCAGAAACCGACAAACAAATACTGGAAACTGACCCAAAAAATGCCAGAAACCAGTTAAAAGAAAATAAAAATGACACACAAATTGCAATTACATGACTATGGTATGCTGCAACTGGTCGTAAATGAAAACTGGTTGTGGTCATGTGACCTTGAGGAGGGAGGGTGACATTTTGCAAATCACCTTTTCTGAGGCCGCTGTAATTCTGGACCGTTGTTAAACGAACGGCCGTAAAGCGAGGACTATTTGTAAGACGTGGGCTGCACAAACATCCAAGAAGCTGGGGATAACTACAAAAAGTCTCTTATCTTATTATAGGATACATCAGTTGCTCTAATATCAGAAACGCTACATGACCCCCCAAATAACATGAGCTTACTAATATAAAACATCATCCTTTGCAGTTCAAAGGGATCCAGTCCAATTAAATGAACATTTAACTGAGTAAGCTTCAGCGAACATTTAGCAGCCTTAATACTTTAAGGTTAATGTTTCCTATATTAATCCATGCAAGTGGCATTTGGTTTGATCGTGATCGTAATTAGGATGGAAGCATTATTTCTATTTATAAAGACTGGAACATATGCTGCTTTTTAGTGCAGGATTTTTTTTTTTCCTCCTGGCTTTTGACCTATTAACAAAACTGAACAGAAATTCTTCCTCTGGCTGCAGGTTTCCACCAGTTCAAGGATTTATACGAGGCAAGGATGATTGTGTCAGAATCTACGATTAATCCTTGCTTTTCATTTAACGACTGCTCATTTAATGACCGTTCGAAGTTAGGGCGGCGTTCACCTTCGGACAAGCCAAGTCTGTGGGGAAGCCAAATTCATTTAAAAACTGTGTGATGGATTTAACCACGGCGGCGACTCGCTTAACAGCTGTGGCAAGAAAGGTCGTAAAATGGGGCAAAATTAGTTTCACAGCTGTCTCGCTTCGCGACGGAAACTTTGGGCTCCATTGTGGCTATAAGTCGAGGACCACCTTAAAACAGAGAATATACCAAGGGAACTATCTTTGCGGTATGTTCCCATTTGAACCCTGCACTCCAGCTGTGACTTACTCTCAAAATGATCTTTCTAACTGCCTCCTGTGTCCACATCTGAGGTCAAGGGCCTCACTTCAGACCCCGAGACTGGAAAAATCCAGAAGAAGATTTTTATCCCTCTGGAATTAAGAGGGCGAATAAGAAGCTGGAAAGTTCCTGAGGTGACTGATTAAACTCTTGACTTCTGTCTGGTCCTCCAATATTTTAGCTGAGAAATATTCTTCCTAGCCTAGAAGACCCCCCTTTGCAGCCCTCAGCAATTTTGCAACTGGCTTTGATCTAATCTGAAAGGAGAAAGTGTGGGGAAAACAAAGAGGATCTCCTTAGATCAGTGGTTCTCAACCTTTTTAATGCTGCGACCCCCAACCGGTCGTAAGTCGAGGACTCCTCAACCGGTCGTAAGTCGAGGACTACTCAACTGGTGCAGCACCGTTTGCAGAATGGGACTTTTGGCGGGCTCAGCAGGGCAGAGACAGCCTGGACAATTCCTATTGGCTTTTGAAAGCCAATAGAATCAGACTCTATTCAAGAGAGTCTATTCTATTGGCTTTCAAAAGCCAATAGAATAAAAGGGAGTAGCACAGCTAAGGAAAAGGGGGAAAAAAATGGCGGACTGCGTTGTTTGGCAACCCCCGTGAAATGGTCGTTCGACCCCAAATGGGGTCCCGACCCACAGGTTGAGAACCACTGCCTTAGATCTAAGGTTGCTTCTTCTTATCCATTCCTTCCATCCCAAGACTGTTCTGACAGTCAGATAATCCCCTTGGCGATATCTCTATGCTGTTCGCAGAGGGGCAAACAGGGGTATAATCTGGTGCTTCTATTATTGTATTGTATTGCATTGTATTGCATTGTATTGTATTGT